ATCTTCCCAAAGTTCCTTTCTGGATTTATTTTCCCAAAGTTCCTTTCTGGTTTTATCTTCCCAAAGTTTCTTTATTGTTTTATCTTCCCAAAGTTCCTTTCTGGTTTTATCTTCCCAAAGTTCCTTTCTGGTTTTATCTTCCCAAAGTTTCTTTATTGTTTTATCTTCCCAAAGTTCCTTTCTGGTTTTATCTTCCCAAAGTTCCTTTGTTGTTTTATATTCCTAAAGTTCCTTTCCGGTTTTATCTTCCCAAAGTTCCTTTCTGGTTTTATTTTCCCAAAGTTCCTTTCCGGTTTTATCTTCCCAAAGTTCCTTTGTTGTTTTATATTCCTAAAGTTCCTTTCCGGTTTTATCTTCCCAAAGTTCCTTTCTGGTTTTATTTTCCCAAAGTTCATTTCTGGTTTTATCTTCCCAAAGTTTCTTTATTGTTTTATCTTCCCAAAGTTTCTTTATTGTTTTATCTTCCCAAAGTTCCTTTCTGGTTTTATATTCCCAAAGTTCCTTTGTTGTTTTATCTTCCCAAAGTTCCTTTCTGGTTTTATATTCCCAAAGTTCCTTTGTTGTTTTATATTCCTAAAGTTCCTTTCTGGTTTTATCTTCCCAAAGTTCCTTTCTGGTTTTATTTTCCCAAAGTTCCTTTCTGGTTTTATCTTCCCAAAGTTTCTTTATTGTTTTATCTTCCCAAAGTTCCTTTCAGGTTTTATATTCCCAAAGTTCCTTTGTTGTTTTATATTCCTAAAGTTCCTTTCGGTTTATCTTCCCAAAATTTCCTTTCTGGTTTAATATTCCCAAAGTTCCTTTGTTGTTTTATATTCCTAAAGTTCCTTTCTGGTTTTATCTTCCAAAGTTCCTTTCTTCACTTCCCCCCATTTTCCCAAAGTTCCTTTCTGGTTTTATCTTCCCAAAAGTTTCTTTATTGTTTTATCTTCCCAAAGTTCCTTTCTGGTTTTATCTTCCCAAAGTTCCTTTGTTGTTTTATATTCCTAAAGTTCCTTTCCGGTTTTATCTTCCCAAAAGTTCCTTTCTGGTTTTATTTTCCAAAGTTCCTTTCTTTTTATCTTCCCAAAGTTTCTTTCTTGTTTTATCTTCCCAAAGTTCCTTTCTGGTTTTATTTTTCCCAAAGTTCCTTTCTGGTTTTATCTTCCCAAAGTTTCTTTATTTTTTATCTTCCCAAAGTTCCTTTTCACTGGTTTTTCCTTCCCAAAGTTCCTTTGTTCACCTTCCTAAAGTTCCTTTCTTTTATCTTCCCAAAGTTTCCTTTCTGGTTTTATCTTCCCAAAAGTTTCTTTCTTTTTCCAAAGTTCCTCTTCCCAAAAAGTTCCTTTCTTCACCCCCATCCAAAGTTTTATATTCCCAAAGTTCCTTTGTTCACCCCATCCTAAAGTTCCTTTCTTTTATCTTCCCAAAGTTTCCTTTCTGGTTTTATTTTCCCAAAGTTCCTTTTCTCCAAAGTTTTATTCTTCCCAAAGTTTCTTTATTGTTTTCTTCTTCCCCAAAAAGTTCCTTTTTTTGGTTTTATATTCCCAAAGTTCCTTTCTTCACCCCCATCCAAAGTTCCTTTCTTCACCCCTGGTTTTATTTTCCCATCCAAGTTCCTTTCTGGTTTTTCTTTTCCCCATCCAAGTTCCTTTCTTCACCCCCTTCCAAAGTTTCTTTATTGTTTTATCTTCCCAAAGTTCCTTTCTGGTTTTATCTTCCCAAAAGTTCCTTTCTTCCTTTGTTGTTTTTTTATTCCTCCAAAGTTCCTTTCTTCACCCCATTTTCCTTTCTTCCCCCCAAAAGTTCCTTTCTGGTTTTTCTTTCCCCCAAAAGTTCCTTTCTTCACCCCATTTTTCTTCCCCCCCCAAAGTTTCTTTATTGTTTTATCTTCCCAAAGTTCCTTTCTTCACCCCCCATCCAAAGTTTTTTCTTCCAAAAGTTCCTTTGTTGTTTTATATTCCTAAAGTTCCTTTCCGGTTTTATCTTCCCCAAAGTTCCTTTCTGGTTTTATTTTCCCAAAGTTCCTTTCTGGTTTTATCTTCCCAAAGTTTCTTTCTTGTTTTCCATCTTCCCCCATCCAAAGTTCCTTTCTTCACCCCCATCCAAAGTCTTTCCCCCCCATCCTTTGTTGTTTTTCTTTCACCGCCATCCAAAGTTCCTTTCTTCACCCCATCCAAAGTTCTTTCTTCCAAATTTCCTTTCTTCACCCCATTTTCCCAAAGTTCCTTTCTTCACCCCCTTCCAAAGTTCCTTTCTTCACCCCATCCAAAGTTTTTCATCTTCATCCAAAGTTCCTTTCTTCACACCCCTTCCAAAGTTCCTTTTTTGTTTTATATTCCTTTCTTCACCCCCATCCAAAGTTCCTTTCTTCGGTTTATCTTTCCTTTCTTCCTTTCTCCAAAAGTTTTATTTTTCCCCCCATCCAAAGTTCTTTTTCACCCCCATCCAAAGTTTTTTCTTCCCCCATCCAAAGTTTCTTTTCTTGTTTTATCTTCCAAAGTTCCTTTCTTCACCCCATTCCCAAAGTTCCTTTGTTGTTTTAAGTTCCTTTTTCCTTTCCAAAGTTTTATTCTTCCAAATTTCCTTTCTGGTTTTTTTTTTCCCCATCCAAGTTCCTTTCTTCACCCCCATCCAAAGTTTTTTCTTCCCCCCAAAGTTTCTTTTTTGTTTTTTTCATCTTCCCAAAGTTCCTTTCTGGTTTTCATCTTCCCAAAGTTCCTTTCTTCATTTATATTCCTAAAGTTCCTTTCTTCACCCCCATTTTATCTTTCTTCACCCCAAATTTCCTTTTCCCCATCCAAAGTTTTATTTTTCCCCCCATCCAAAGTTCCTTTCTTCACCCCCATCCAAAGTTCCTATCTTCACCCCCATCCAAAAGTTCCTTTCTTCACCCCCTTCCAAAGTTCCTTTCTTTTTTATATTTCCAAAGTTCCTTTGTTGTTTTATATTCCTAAAGTTCCTTTCTTTTATCTTCATCCAAAGTTTCTTTTTCACCCCATCCAAAGTTTTTCTTTTCCCCAAAGTTCCTTTCTTTTTATCTTTTCCAAAGTTTTCTTTCTTGTTTTATCTTCCTAAAGTTCCTTTCCGGTTTTATCTTCCCAAAAAGTTCCTTTCTTCACCCCCATCCCAAAGTTTCTTTATTGTTTTTCTTCTTCCCAAAGTTCCTTTCTTCACCCCCATCCAAAGTTTTTTCTTCCCAAAGTTCCTTTGTTGTTTTATATTCCAAAGTTCCTTTCCGGTTTTTTCTTCCCAAAGTTCCTTTTCTGGTTTTTTTTTCCCAAAGTTCCTTTTCTTCACCCCCTTCTTCCTTTCTTCACCCCATCCAAAGTTTCTTCACCCCATCCAAAGTTCCTTTCTTCACCCCCATCCAAAGTTTTTTCTTCCCCCCATCCAAAGTTCCTTTCTTCACCCCATCCAAAGTTTTATTCTTCCCCCAAAAGTTCCTTTCTTTTTTTATCATCCAAAGTTCCTTTTTCACCCCCATCCAAAGTTTTTTCTTCCCAAAGTTCCTTTCTTCCCCCATCCAAAGGTTTCATCCAAAGTTTATTTCTTCCCCCCAAAAGTTCCTTTCACCCCCCATTTTCTTCCCATCCAAGTTCCTTTCCAAAAGTTTCTTTTCTTGTCCAAAGTTTTTTCTTCCCAAAAGTTCCTTTCTTTTTTATCCATCCAAAGTTCCTTTCTTCACCCCCATCCAAAGTTCCTTTCTTCCCCATCCAAAGTTTTTTCTTCCCAAAAGTTCCTTTGTTGATTTATTTCTTCCTAAAGTTCCTTTCTTTTATCTTCCCAAAGTTTCCTTTCTGGTTTTATCTTCCCATCCAAAGTTCCTTTCTTGATTTATATCCAAAGTTCCTTTCCGGTTTTACCCCCAAATTTCCTTTCTGGTTTTATTTTCCCCAAAGTTTTCTTTCTGGTTTCCTTTCTTCCCATCCAAAGTTTCTTTATTGTTTTATCTTCCCAAAGTTCCTTTCTGGTTTTATATCCAAAAGTTCCTTTGTTCACCCCATTCCAAAGTTCCTTTCTTTATCTTCCCAAATTTCCTTTTTAGTTTTATTTTCCCAAAGTTCCTTTCTTTTTATCTTTCCAAAGTTTCTTTATTGTTTTATCTTCCTAAAAGTTCCTTTCTTCACCCCCATCAAAAGTTTATTTCTTCCCCCAAAGTTCCTTTCTGGTTTTATCTTCCCAAAGTTTCTTTATTTCTTTATCTTCCAAAGTTCCTTTTCTGGTTTTATCTTCCCAAAGTTCCTTTCTTTCAAAGTTTTATATTCCCAAAGTTCCTTTTTCGGTTTTTATCTTCCCCAAAAAGTTCCTTTCTGGTTTTATTTTCCCAAAGTTCCTTTCTTTTTATCTTCCCAAAGTTTCTTTATTGTTTTATCTTCCCAAAGTTCCTTTCTTCACCCCATCCAAAGTTTTATCTTCCAAAGATCCTTTCTGGTTTTATTTTCCCAAAGTTCCTTTCTTCACCCCCTTCCCAAAGTTTCTTTCTTCACACCATCTTCCCAAAGTTCCTTTCTGGTTTTATATTCCCAAAGTTCCTTTGTTGTTTTATCTTCCCCCATCCAAAGTTCCTTTCTTCACCCCATCCAAAGTTCCTTTTATCTTCCCAAAGTTCCTTTCTTTTTATTTTCCCAAAGTTCCTTTCTGGTTTTATCTTCCCAAAGTTTCTTTATTGTTTTATCTTCCCAAAGTTCCTTTCTGGTTTTATCTTCACCCATCCAAAGTTCCTTTGTTGTTTTATATTCCTCCAAAGTTCCTTTCCGGTTTTATCTTCCCAAAAGTTCCTTTCTGGTTTTATTTTCCCAAAGTTCTTTTCTGGTTTTATCTTCCCAAAGTTTCTTTCTTGTTTTATCTTCCCAAAAGTTCCTTTTCTGGTTTTATATTCCGAAAGTTCCTTTGTTGTTTTATATTCCAAAGTTCCTTTCTTCACCCCTTCCAAATTTCCTTTCTTCACATTTTCCCAAAGTTCCTTTCTTCACCACCATCTTCCCAAAGTTTCTTTATTGTTTTATCTTCCCAAAGTTCCTTTCTTCACCCCATTCCAAAGTTCCTTTGTTGTTTTATATCCAAAGTTCCTTTCTTCACCCCATCCAAAGTTCAAATTTCCTTTTCCAAAGTTTTATTTTCCCAAAGTTCCTTTCTTCACCCCCATTTTATTTTTCCAAAAGTTTCTTTATTGTTTTCCTCTTCCTCCAAAGTTCCTTTCTTTTATCTTCCCAAAGTTCCTTTCTTCACCCCCCTATCTTCCCAAAGTTCCTTTATTTATTGTTTTATCTTCCCCCAAAGTTCCTTTCTGGTTTTATTCTTCCCAAAGTTCCTTTCTTCACCCCCATATATTCAAAGTTCCTTTCTTTTATCTTCCCAAAGTTCCTTTCTTTTTATTTTCCAAAGTTCCTTTCTGGTTTTATCTTCCCAAAGTTTCTTTATTTTTATCTTCCCAAAGTTCCTTTCTGGTTTTATCTTCCAAAGATCCTTTCTGGTTTTTCCTTTTCCCCATCCAAGTTCCTTTCTGGTTTTATCTTCCCAAAGTTTCTTTTTCACCCCATCCAAAGTTTTTTCTTCCCCCCCATCCAAAGTTCCTTTCTGGTTTTATATTCCCAAAGTTCCTTTGTTGTTTTATATTCCAAAGTTCCTTTCTTCACCCCCATCTTCCCAAAGTTCCTTTCTGGTTTTATTTTCCCAAAGTTCCTTTCTTCACCCCTTCCCAAAGTTTCTTTTTCATTGTTTTATCTTCCCAAAGTTCCTTTCTGGTTTTATATTCCCAAAGTTCCTTTGTTTTTTTCACCCCCATCCAAAGTTCCTTTCTTTTTATCTTCCCAAGTTCCTTTCTTCACCCCCATCTTCCCAAAGTTCCTTTCTGGTTTTATATTCCCAAAGTTCCTTTGTTGTTTTATATTCCTAAAGTTCCTTTCCGGTTTTATCTTCCCAAAAGTTCCTTTCTTCTTATTTTCCCAAAGTTCCTTTCTGGTTTTATCTTCCCAAAATTTCTTTTTTTTTTTTATCTTCCCAAAGTTCCTTTCTGGTTTTATCTTCCCAAAGTTCCTTTGTTGTTTTATATTCCTAAAATTCCTTTCCGGTTTTATCTTCCCAAAGTTCCTTTGTTGTTTTATATTCCTAAAGTTCCTTTCCGGTTTTATCTTCCCAAAGTTCCTTTCTGGTTTTATCTTCCCAAAGTTTCTTTATTGTTTTATCTTCCCAAAGTTCCTTTCTGGTTTTATATTCCCAAAGTTCCTTTGTTGTTTTATATTCCTAAAGTTCCTTTCCGGTTTTATCTTCCCAAAGTTCCTTTCTGGTTTTATTTTCCCAAAGTTCCTTTCTGGTTTTATCTTCCCAAAGTTTCTTTATTGTTTTATCTTCCCAAAGTTCCTTTCTGGTTTTATATTCCCAAAGTTCCTTTGTTGTTTTATATTCCTAAAGTTCCTTTTTAGGTTTTATTTTCCCAAAGTTCCTTTCTGGTTTTATTTTCCCAAAGTTCCTTTCTTGTTTTATTTTCCCAAAGTTGCTTTGTTGTTTTATCTTCCCAAAGTTCCTTTCTTGTTTTATTTTCCCAAAGTTCCTTACTTGTTTTATATTCCCAATGTTCCTTTCTTGTTTTATATTCCCAAAGTTCAATTCTGGTTTTATTTTCCCAAAGTTCTTTCTGGTTTATATTCCCAAAGTTCCTTTTTAGGTTTTATATTCCCAAAGTTCCTTTCTGGTTTTATATTCCCAAATTTCCTTCATTGTTTTATATTCCCAAAGTTCCTTACTTGTTTTATATTCCCAAAGTTCTTTCTGGTTTTATATTCCCAAAGTTCCTTTCTGGTTTTATTTTCCCATACCTAAAGGTATACTAGCAAAATTAATAGATTTAATTAACCGACCTTTTTCAAAATTCATTCGATTACAACATCTGATTGTGGTATTTTTTCCAGTCCTCTACCGTCCTCTTTAACTCAGCACCTTTTCCTTGTCTCCCAATTATTACAGTCTAATGATCCCCCCCCGCCCCACACTTACAGGAAGGTGTGTGGAGAATGATTTATTAAAATTAACCTCTAATTAGCGTCTAAAGTTTTATTACTCTGTGGAAAATATTTTTTTTTAAATTAAAAAAATAAAAATTTATTTCAGTCATCTTTCGACGAATTTTTTTTCACTTTTTCGCATTAAAAGGCTTTAAGTTTTATTTATTTATTTATCTTTAATCGGAATCACCACGAGCAATGTATTAAAGCCAATAAGACACAAAGGGTTGCTGAATATGAAAGAAAACAGTAGCATTATTGAAGAGAGAGAACAAATGAAGAGCAACCAGTAAAAACAGTAAATAACCATTGATATTGCATTTAAATTTTTTTAGATCAAACATGACTTGATAGCAAGAAGCCAGAAGAGAGAAAAAAGTGTTAGCATAGAACTTAGTGTTGCGTCTAGCCAAATCAATTGTAGATTGATGAGACCTTGTTGCTAATCTAATACTGCGCTTAAAATCATAAAGTCTAAGTACCAGAGCGAAGAGTTCATCCGAACAATTGCCATGAAAGTATTTATAGAAAAGGCACAGGGAAGCAACTGAAGCCGAGATGTTAGGTCAGGACCAATAATATAGCTGGTTTTGTTTTGTAATCATTTAAAACAAGAGCATTGAATATCTTCGGGGCCATTAGCGATTTAAACAAAGACAGAATAGATAATGGAATGTCTAGAAAGCACATTTAGACATGTTTTTATTATGTTAAAACGTTATTTTTAGCGGATACAGGTATTTGAGTAGACGATCTGTTTACTTTAAACAGTATTTTATTTTCATCCGCCAGTCCGCATATTCAGGAAAATTTATTGAAGAAAATGTGCTCTCTAGCAAGACAAATGTGTGGAATTAAAAATTCATGTCTGAATTTCTAGGATGACTTATTTACACTATTTATACCCGGACTATTGTCCTCATTTTTGTTTCACAATGTTTCTACCCTCAGAATTTCCTATAGGTTACCCAGATTGAGATATACCTGAGGAAAACCATGAGCGGGGGGGTGGGGGAGTGGATGTCGCACAGCAGTCGAAATGTTATGATAAAAACAAAAAAGATGAGGACAATAGTCCGAATATAAATAGTGCAAATAACGAATGTAGATGTCTGTATAGTTTAACAAATTCGTATATATATCAACAAACAGTATTTAGAAAAATATGACAGACTTGTCATATTTTTTCATAATACTTTTTTCATATATAAATTATACAATATTATATATCGTTATATATATATATATATATATATATATATATATATATATATATATATATATATATATATATATATATATATATATCAGAATGTAATGAACGAAAATAATATATAAATTTTAACGTTCACAACATTAATTCAAAAGAGGGCTTAATACCGATAGTATATTATATTTTTTCATGCGACCTACTTACAAACAGAATATATATAACTATTTTGGTTTTCACCAATCGAGGTGAAACTAAATGCACCGAAATGAAGTTGCATCTTTGTTTGTAGTGAGTAAATTTTTTGTATATATTAAAAAATTATATATATATATATATATATATATATATATATATATAAGAAAAAATACTTTTTCAAATATTGGGAGTTGTTTCCTCACACCAAAACAAAGAAAAATGTCCTCATAAACATCTGTCCAAAAATCCTTCCTTTTTGATTTAAGGTTAAAGTGTACGGTAGATGGCACTGTTGCCATGTAGTCTAGGTTACATTGTCATTCGTGTACGATTGTGGCTTGTTTGTCTTTAACGTTTAACATGTGTAGTAGTGAGTAAATGGAGAAGTGTTCCATTTAACAATGGCAGGATATGCATATCGTGAGCAGCAGATATGATTTTGACATACGGCCGCGCGTATGGTAATGGACGCAAGAATCTCTTTAAACTTAACTCAAAAACTTTGAAGAATTTGCGGACATATGTTCATATGGACTTTTGTTGTCCTTGTTTTGGTGTAAGAAACCCACCAACAATGTACCAATGTTTCTAAAAGTATTTTTGATACACACTGTGTGTGTGTGTGTGTGTGTGTGTGTGTGTGTGTGTGTGTGTGTGTGTGTGTGTGTGTGTGTGTGTGTGTGTGTGTGCATATATACATAGGCGTAAATTTCAAGATTGGTTATTCCTAAATTTTTGCTTGAGGATGAAACAGGGCTTGATACTTTAATTCAATTTAATTTTAATAATTATATTGAGGTTTTTGAAACATCAGAACTCTTATTTTCAAAAAATAATTATAATTTAAGCTCTACTTCTGTATGGAGCACAGTTTGTTTTTTTTTAAATAAAAACAAAAATACTAAAGAACACCGGATTATTTACCTAACGTGTTCTTTCTTATTTTCTACATAGCTGCACACACACACACACACACACACACACACACACACACACACACACACACATATATATATATATATATATATATATATATATATATATATATATATATATATATTAGAGCTTTGATCAAATATGGATCAGAATCCTACAGAATAAGATAAAGAAAAAAAAAATAGGAAACGTTCCTCAATTTAACGTTTCACTTTTTATTGAAGCTTTCTTTTTCTAGATGTATTATCAGTGATAAACATTTCCTATTTTTTTATCTTACATATATATATATATATATATATATATATATATATATATATTACACGAGGTGAGTGTGAAATTTTTTCGGTTTGACCGTAAAGAGATTCCGCCATTAAGTTCTGAAATTAGGTCATTTGTTCACATTTCGAAAAGTGAGTCGAGCCGATAAATTTTCAGCATCCCGTGTGTGTGTGTGTGTGTGTGTGTGTGTGTGTGTGTGTGTGTGTCATATCGTGTCAAAAAAAGTCATATTTTTTAAAACTAAGTCATTGCTTTGAAATTAATCACAAAAGAATGAGAACTGCTTTAATGTTCTCTAACTTGTCAATCATCAAATATAAATAACGTCGCCATTTTGTTTAGTTTCTATTTTTTCGTTAGTTCGAATTAAATACAACCACGCTGCTCACTGCCAAAGTACTCTTCAAGAATCGACTCTTTATAATTGCAATACAATGTAACCAGGATATAAGAGAGTTGTCGGGACTGGAGAATAAGTCTCTTATATCCGGGTTTCTATTATATCCGGGTTTGGTCTATTTTGTTTAGGTAAGTATGGGAACACTTTGGAACCAGAGAAAATATCTCTTATATCCGGGTTTCTCTTATATCCGGGTCTCTTATATCCGGGTTACACTGTATATGTACTCTTCAAACATTTTCGTTTTCTAATTCATTAACATTTTTTTCTCCTACATCTTTTAAGAAGAATTCCATTTACACTTGTGACTGATCACCAGAAAAAGCATCGTTTCTCAAAGCAACACAAACTTTTTTTTCAAATATTTTTCCTTAAAAGCTGTTTATTTTTTTTTATTTCCTCCCTTGAATACATTTTGTTTAAATTAGTTTCAATTTCAATTTGTACCGAAAGAATTATTTGGGGTATTGTTTGAGATCATCTGTTATTTGTTTTCGGATTTTGGTGGAGTTATTCAATAAGCATTACGAGCAGAAATAATCATTTTATTTTACATATAACAATAGATTAAGCATACTAGATAAGGAATATCTTAAAAAATAAATACAAATTAAATTTTATCAAAATTAACAGGGGGTCCAGTTTGATATACAGTGTAACCCGGATATAAGAGAGATTTCCCAAATTAGAGCCTGTGTTAATGTATATAAATTAGACCAAACCCGGATATAAGAGAAACCCGGATATAAGAGACTTCTTCTCCGGTCCCGCCAACTCTCTTATATCCTGGTTACACTGTATAAATTTATTGTAAATTGAACCCACTGCAGAAGCCAAAGCAAATACGATCGGACCACATGATATTATAGAATGTAAAATAAAAAAATTAAAATTCTTACTTTGAAGTTGTTTTGCATGTATCGATTAAGCACACAAGATTACGAATTTCATTTGTTTTTAAATTATACACATCTTAAAAATGGATCCTTTTGAGCATATTTCTTTTCGTGGGAAGGTTCAGTTTACAATTAAATTTACATAGTTAATTGGACCCCCAATTAGTTTTTATAAAATAAAAAATTATAGATGTGTTTAATTTATTATAATTTGAATTATATTTTATTCTAATTTAAATATATATATACATTTATTTGGCACAATGTACTACTCCAAAATTTTTCAACATAGAAAAATACTTTTTTTATTCCATTCGATAAAATTTATTTTTCTATATTTTAGAGTGGCTTTTAAAAAATATTGTAAATTTCCAAGTATATCGTTGGTAAGTTTTATAAGAATGTAAAGTAACATTTTTAAAATCTACCTTCAATAATTACAGGCTATGTGATAGTAAATGTTAATTCATCCCCAAATAAGAATTTATATTTACTAAAATTCACAGCAAATTCTCCCAGAGCGAGGTTCTTCCTTTGTACTCCGATTGGGTTGACCTAAATGTGGGCGAATCGGGTGCGCTATTTTTTAGTGTGGGGTCTACGTTCGCGCTCACCCCGATAAACAAGCCAAAAACCTTTTCTTTTTTTTTAAATTGTAAAAATTCCTTGTAAGTACCTCAAATATTACGAAATGTGAATAACTCCCAGATTTTGGGGAATTTTTCATTCTTGGAGTTGTTGCAAGACAAGCTAAACAAATTTTGACTTATAATTTATAATTTCTTGGTGTGAATTAATATTTGCAATAAGTAACTTTAAAGCATTTGGGGTGAATTAACAGAAAAGATCCGTTTTTTTTTCTGTTTTTTTTTTTTTTTTTTTGTTTTTGTTTTTGTTTTTGCACTGACCCCACTGCAAATAAATATCTGGCGCCAAGAATCTTCTTAAGCTGAAACTTGAACTATTTATCGTATTTTATTTATTTAGGTATTTAGAGTACGAAATATTTAACATTACCACAAGTGTCGAAACGGATTCAGACATTTTTCATCTTTCTGTTTGAATAATGACTGCTGCTTTCAACAACTACATCTGAAGTAAGTTAAGCAACAATCTAATTAATCATAATTAAAGGAGTAAGAAATTAATATTTAAAAAAAAAAAGTTATTTAATTCGCTTTTGTACTATTAAACGCAATATCTGGTAAGTTTGATAATGTATAAAATATTAGGAGCCTTTGATACAATCGAAAGTCACTATTATTATTATTATTATTATTATTATTACTAGTGTTATTATTACTATTGTTACTGTTAATAGTTACTACTACTACTACTACTACTACTACTACTACTATTATTATTATTATTATTATTATTATTATTATTATTATTATTTTATTTCCTTTGATTTCTGGTGTATACACATTTCTTTCCGGGTCCCGACTAGAAACCTAAGGTCAGAAATGGCATCACACCATTTTCCACTGAGCAATTTGGGAAAAAATCACACATATTTTACATAGATAAATCCCTCCGTAAAGTGTGGGCTCGATATACTTACTTACTTGCAAATAACCTTGGGAAAGGTATGAATCGAATTATTTTAATCTGTATAGAAAATTATTATCTCCACCCACAACCCACAAAAAAATTCACAATCCAAAAATATGATTTGGTTTTAAATAACTTTAAACAGGTTGATAAGCCGTAAAAAGCAAATCAATTAATAATTTATATAAATAGTACTTCAAGTCACCAGTGTTTTGTGCCAAAGAGATTAGTGAAAACGTTTGGGAAATTTTAGAACCAGTGAGCGACTGAGTACAATGCTATCAAGAGGAGGAAACAATAAATTAAAGAAAAAATAGGGGAAAAAACAAAAGAAAAAGGAAAAAAATAAAGAAAAAGGAAAGAAAAAGAAAAGAAAAAAAAAGGAAAAAAAGGAAAGAAAAAATGTTGAAACATCTTGGTAGCAGTTGTACCGATCACTACTGGAGTATTCGAAATATACCCAAATATCCTAGCAAAGATACCATGTAGATGACAGTATTACTGAGGAGAGTGCTGGAATATTAAAGAGACTGGTCATCATTTACTTTCTAGTATAAGCGCTTTGATTACTCAAAATTACGGATTATTGATATATCGGAATGAAGAGACTCAAGGGTAGTTGAGAATGAACAAAAGGAAGAGAATCAAGATTGAAACACTTGTGGGGAGTGAAGAAAATCAAAATTGTTCCAATTGTGGACGCTCTTACAAAAGTAGCTGTGTAAAATTAGGACCCTGATTTGAACTGAGATTCTTCAGAAAACAGTACTACTTGGGACAGACAGAATTCTGAGAAAGAATTTTTTCAGTTGCAGGACAGGACCCCGGTTCATCCCATCGTTAGTTCATACGACCGTTACGTCCTGTCAGTACCTCATAAATAATGGACTATACCGTCTTGATTGAGTAGCAAAACAAAACATAGCGACGCTACTTGGTTTCAGTGATATATCCGCTAACCGCCCCACGCGGTCGGATGTGGCACAAGGCCGAGTTTATAGTGGAGTATCTGTACCCGTAGGCTCGGCCAAAAATCCCCCATTGACCCATAAAAAATCGGGGTCGGGTAGCTGTCTGCCGGGACAAGACTCTGCCCTTCGAGATAGCCTCGTCTGAGGATCCTCTCTGCCCGGAGGCAGTGAGTTTGACAATCACACTTCCGAAGTAATCCGGAGAGTGGTTTCATGAGAAAATGAATAAAAGAAAGGAAAGATAGAAGTATTTAACGGCTGTTTCAGTGAAATAGAAAAAATTGTCAATTTCAAATCTTTTCATTTGTACCCCCTTACTTCTTAAAATAACAACCGACATTCATATTTATGATTGTTATTGAAATATTTTGTTAACGTTGTTAAGCTCAAATATTTAACAATGCGATATTCAATCATTAACTGAAAAATTAAAAATTCATCAGAATAATAAAATAGGCAAACCGTAAAATTTCCACTAGTAATATTGATGAGATAACATTTGTAAAGAAAGATACTTAGGAAGAGACAGTTAAAACCTCTGAGGCATATAATGAGGAAAGAAGGCTTGGAGAATGTGACACTCACAGGACATATTCAAAGCAAGCGAAGCAGAGGGAAACATCGATTAATCTACCCAATGAACTTGAGTCAATGGATGGCAGAACAGGGACTGGCGGGGATAGTAAGGAATACACATTACTTAGTGATACAATTGGTCTTTAACAAAACGAGGCAGCATGTGAAAAATTCAAGTACGAATGAATTCTAGCAATTGTAATATCGAAACACTGTAATTGTAATCATTAACAGCGAGACGAACAGTTTTAATGAAGGTGCTACACATAAGGGACTCTGGACAGAGGTAGGACCTCTGATGTCTAGCTCGCTGCACCTTCAGGTGGACGGGCATTACTGGTCCTCAACCATCTCCTAAATCTCTCACGCGATGGTTCCAAGTTGACATCCCCCGGTAAACCGTTTCAGCTGGCTGGCTAAACTCACATGAGGTGGTTGGTTGTTTAGAGGCATATCAACCTCTGCTGGTTATTTAATGTCGAAATCTAAATATTTTTAGTACAAAATTTTATTTTAATTTGGAAGATAATAATAGCTTATTGATACAGTTCTCACTAATTAACCCAGAGATCATTTGCACGTTGGTTAATATAACGAACCCGACTGGAATTGAACTCGTCTCTCCGATTAAAAATTCCAAGTCATTATCCGTACCACCTCGTATTCCCAAGCGGTCACCCATCTGGGTACTGACCAGGCTCGACGTTGCTTAACTTCGGTGATCGTACGGGAATCGGTGTTTCAACGTGATGTAGCCGTAAGCCACGTGAGGGGTTGTGCTAATACGGCACCACTGGGCGAAGGACATTCTGGACGCAGGTCACCAGCCAGGGCGAAAGGGGCTCTCAGATGAACTACAACGGTCATATGTTCGGGACCAAAGCGAGCCACCTACCCAGTTGGCTGTGATTTAACATGGAGAGGAATGTGCTCCGCCATATGATGAGCAGACGGTGAAAAACCATTCGCGAGGGCCCAGGCTCTGGCACACGACCAC